GTATCCCATCATTTATATTAGAATAGAAATATTATTCTAGTGATCTAAACGAGCCCATCAAAATCTTCAACTTATCACATTTTCATTCCTTCATACTACCTTTATTTTAAGCCTTATTGTGGTCACCCCTCTCTATTGGTATTCGACGTGGACGTTTTTGGTTGCATGTTAGTCATTTTCTGTTCACCCTCCATTCTGTTTTATCTCCCACATTTACAGTCATATTGCTCTCTCAACTTTAGCTACTAAACCCTTTGTTGAACCATCCAATGGTTGTTATACTCTCTATACTTAGAGAACACAAAGTTGTGCTAGTTAGCCACCAAGGGAATTTAATCGAACGCTCGATCTAGTAGTTGTGATACCGTTCATGGCATTTAGCTCTACATTAAGACTTGCAGAGGCACCATGTACACATTCATTCACGTAGTTAGCGCAATTTACATTGGAGTGGCACTCGTTAAACGCTCATGGACTCTAAAATGACTCCTAATAGGTGGTGGTTTAATTTTACGCTGGTAAAAGCGTGAGGGTTCAACCAAGGTAACACTATCACCATTCCGAGAGCATTAATAATTTGCATACTGGTCTTCAGGGATTTCTTTACTCTCCAGTGACCTCTCTTTGAGTCACAGGTTATCAAAAAAGCAAAACGTTTATTTGCAGTCTTTGGTTTACTATTCAAGATGCAACTGTTGCCGTTCGACTCCATAGTCCCCAATTATTTCTGTTCATTTTAGATGTGTCTGTTGAAAATATGGTGATCTTGGAAAGATCTAAAACAAAGAATTGAGTGTAGTAAAATGAGTTCATTTTGTTTCGTTACATTCTCATCACTGACCTGAAACGTCATGGAGTTTGTTCTTGGGACTTACAAATGTGCCTGCCTTGGTCGGTCTATGATTAGTGTAAAGAACATATGTCTCTATGCAAGATTATCAGCTTGGCTGCACGGTACATTCTGGTCAGAGGGACTTTAATCCTCTGTTGATTGTAGCTGCGACACGATCAACTTTAAATCCAACCTTAATAAATATAAGTCTTCTGTCTACTCTGGTGCGTTTGGAAGTTTTTCCACAAATTTCTCATCATACTTGTTGGTCCATAGGTATTTTAAGTGCACATTAATTCTGCCTCTAGTCTGTAGGCAGCAAATATCCATTCAGTTTCGTGAAATAAAGTTTCGATAAGTGTCTTTGTAAAGCTAAGTGAACAAAAACTATTGAAATTCAAATGAGCACTATTAAATGTATGTTTTCAGTGAACCAGATTTTTAACTGTACTGTGCCTATTCGTATGGCAATATCGAAAAACTGGAACCCATCCGTCTTTTTATGTTTCATCACAAAACCGAATATTTTTATAAGCATCAGCGGAGAAGTTTATGTGTTCTGCTTTCTATCGGTCACCACATACAATAACGAGCTCTCCATCATACCTCGCACACACCAAAGCGAATACGAAATAAAAGAAGGTGTATATAATAAAATTCATCTGCTTTTCGATTGTCATTCAATACCTCGGCTGATGAGCAATAGTCCGTGCATTTCTAGGCGAACGTCTAAAATTCTTTTAAAACGATAAATGAATAGGAAGCTGGTGAAAAGTTTTCGTGGATGTGGATTTATCACTTTTCCCACCAATATACAACCATTATCCGTATTTTCGAAGTGATAACAATAGCAAGCTTCATACTAATATATTTTAAAATCGTTTTGATACTCAAACTTTTTCAACAACAAAATATCATTTCAACTTTAAGATAAGTCGACAGGTCTTGTATAGTTGCTTGACTCACACATCGAAATGAATGAATGATTTCTTGATCTATGTTTTAATTGTTTACATGAAATAATGTTTTGGATGAATCATGCATCCGATAGTCGTCCACAATCTTGTCGTTATATGTAATGGCGAATAGCTAATTCTGGTAGTAGAAAAATTCACTCTTTCTTCTGAAGACGGTGTGGTGTGACCTACTTATATTGATATAAGTAGTATATAACGTGCGTTAAAAGAACGTAATGTCCGGCAGCAGAAGATGGCGAAGATCAAGAAAGGAAGAGCAAGAACACAATGCAATTGTAAGAAAACGCATGTACAATGGAATGGGAGACAATGGATTAGTGTTTGCAACGGGAATAGTACAGTTTGATATGATGGAAGGATATTTTGCAAATTGACGATTGACTTTATGGTATTCACATTATATTGAGATAGTCTGTAATTTTTGTGCCAAATACAGTCGATTGTCCCCACCCGTGTTCTTGTTCACTACATTTGGTGTCGCTGCCACCCAGGAGAGGAGGAGTGTGCTGTTCTGCGGACGCCGTTGCGAGCCTGGGGTTGAGGTGCCAGTTGGGGCAGTCTGGTGCGGAGAGGTGGCGTCTGGTGAAGTGTCCTGGCGGGGTTGCGTTGGCTGTAGCGGGTGCTGTCGACGGAGTGGAGCGTCGGGACGCGCGGCTGCTGGGCGGACATCGGATGTAGATGGCTCAGCAGGCCGGTGGAGTGCGGATGTCAAGCGTCCCAGGTGCCGGGTGGATGTTGGTTGTTGTTTCCCCGGCAGGTCGACAGGGCTGTGGAAGTCAGCGCGCTGCAGACTCGACATCTTGACGGAGAGCGTGGCACAGACTGCAGAGACGGAGAAGGTTGCACGGCGAGCATGAACCACCACAAGAACGACTGCTTTAAAGGGGGGGACGAGTGTGGTGTGACCTACTTATATTGATATAAGTAGTATATAACGTGCGTTAAAAGAACGTAATGTCCGGCAGCAGAAGATGGCGAAGATCAAGAAAGGAAGAGCAAGAACACAATGCAATTGTAAGAAAACGCATGTACAATGGAATGGGAGACAATGGATTAGTGTTTGCAACGGGAATAGTACAGTTTGATATGATGGAAGGATATTTTGCAAATTGACGATTGACTTTATGGTATTCACATTATATTGAGATAGTCTGTAATTTTTGTGCCAAATACAGTCGATTGTCCCCACCCGTGTTCTTGTTCACTACAACGGTATTTAGGATTTTCGTAGTACCTATAGCACACAAAGAATGATTTTAAAGTGTCAGGCCTTTCTTATTCACTTGGCATCATAATCCTAACCACGTATATGTTCTCTTACACTTCAACAAAAAACTACTGAAAGGCGATGTAACAGTGGATAACATATATTGGTGTGAGTATAAAGCCTTGAAAAAACATAAATTGCAATTCAGGTATTTTTGTCTGTCTGCCTCCAATCGTTAATCGTTCGCCATTAGTTCTCACTAACACAACACGTCTCAACAGAAGCATCCACACACAAAGTGAGAACAAAATATGGTGGAATAAACTATTCTCAATTTTCAAATCAGAAGAGATGAATAAGTAGTCGCACAGCAGCAGATTTTAATCAAGAATTACAACCTATTTCAGTCTCTAGTACAACAGAGGTTGTCTGTTAAAAATGTTAGTTATGATTTTTAGAATATAACTCGCTATAAAAGATACCGTTCGTACCTTTCTAGATATTACTACTGAGCCTGAGCTCCAACCACAGACACTGAGCAACAAACACAATACTGACCTCCGTGTAGTATCAAAAGTACGCGAACAAAACATTAACGAGAGTAAACAAGCTCAATAATGTTAGCAATTGGGCTCCCCTGATAGATGACCCTTCTTCAAAAGTTTGATCTCAAGACTTTGCTTTCAGATTAGTTTGGAAGAATCTCGCACGCTCCCGCATTCTAAATGACCTTTCGACGATTCATCCTCTTACATCTCTCACTTCCACATAAATTTTATTCCTAAATATCCAAAGTTTATAATTGAAGATACAATATTTTGTATTACACTTTATTAAGTAAACTTTTCGAACTGACTTTATGTTCACCACGTATGTACGACCCATGCTAATCGATATTTGACAACTGTTCTTTGCAGTTTACTAGAACGTTCAACTCACCATTCTAAATTATTACTGCACAAACGCTTATCCTATCATCATATGTTACGACGTTAACGATTCGGAGTGTTTGAGCTATAAGCGTTTGCTTGCTTATGCCATAATTATCTTTTCCAGAACTTTCTCGTTCGTTTTGATTGATTTGTTGAAACATCACTCCATCGAGAAACGTATACGATTTTCGTGATTAAGACAAGGAACGGTGGGAGTACACAAATTAAAACAAATGGTACTGTTTTTTCTTTTTGTGATTATACAGCTTCTGATATCTTCAGTCATGACTTTGCAAACATGCTATACATGGAAGCTAAAGGAAAGTTGTTGCAATGCACAAGAAAAAAAAGGAGATTATTTTGAAAACAGTTACAGATAATAACTCTTTATGATGCAATGTAAACAAATAATACCTACTAAAACTGCGTCAGTTGTAAATCACGTAATTAAACTGTAGAAATATGCGTGTAGCGGTAAAAAGTCCGCAAAATCAACAGCTCTGTAAGTTTTCGATATTTGATGCTGACCTCATTAGTTTTACTGGACCACACCAGATCTCGAGTATGTACTCTATTCTACTTATCCCTTCCAACTAGTGGCTAGCTTAGACCAAACACACCTTCGACAGACCGATATTCTCCCAAATCTATCTCCTACAACCGCTAGCTTGCTGGACCACTCACTTCTCGATATATCGACAGTCTATTAAATATATATTCAAACTCCTTCATTTGTCTCTTGATCTCACTGTGTTCGTAAACTTTGATTATAAAGGTGTTACTTGTTAAGGTTCAGTCAAACTCCGAATACATTGCATTTTCAGTGGTGGGATTGATATGATCTGGTACACCAATTTGTAAACTGTGGGTCATTACATATCATTTTTTAACTTAAATTTTCAAATATTGGGATATGTTTTCGTATTATCGGATGGTTTTACCCGTTCATTCCTATACTTTATATTCATCAAGACCGAACAGAATTCCAAGTTACTTAAGACCAAAACTCTTTCGCCTCATTTATTTCAGCTAATGTCATTGTGGCCCAACAACATCGAAGTCTGGTTCAGCTACTCATAAGCTAACTTCTACGAGCGTGGCATGAACGATTCATGAGCACAATTCCTCTCAGTAATGAAGGCACTACCGCGCGAACTCAACAGGTACGTCACACCTAGTATGTTCACCAGTGATATTTCGGGAACTTATGAAACCCTAAAGTGGTCTATTCTTAAACGCGGAGATCTGGCCGATCGAAAAAGGTTAGATCAGCTCCTCAATAGCATCGATGTACAATATGGCTCGTCAACGTATGTGTTGTTACAAATGAGAGAGGTCATTATTGACCAATTGGTCAACGGACATTCGACGACAGACTGTTTATGCAATTTCTATTATCTGAGATTCCTCAACAGCTGCATGCAGTGCTTGTCTCACTTCAAAAGGATGTTGTAAACAAGATGGCTGTATCTACCGACTGGATTCTTGAGATCACCAGAACTTCAAACGCCGAGGTTTTATCAGTCAAAGAAAAACCCCAAACGACACGAACTGACGTTATGAAACCCTGTCATACTCTGACACGTTACCTTCGTATTTTTCATAACCGTAGACGATCACAAACTCCTCGGAGGAGTTCTTCATGAAGACTATCTGTCTCAAGATCGCGAGAGAAAGATGATCCCGATTTGTTCTGGTATTATAATCAGTATAGATAACCTTCTCGGAATCGTAGAAAGCCCTGCAATTTCCCTGTCACTGTTAAGCATATGATCGATACATACCATCAACCAATACTTGATAAATACCCTGAGATATGCCAAACACTGTCGAAATCGTCATATGTAACCAGCAACTTTACGCATCAAATCGTGACTACAGGATTACCCGTAGTCTCAAAAGCTCTCCGACTAGCTGCTGAAAAGCTTAGGTTGGCCTAAAACCAATTCGGTTAAATGATAGATATAGGAATCATTCGTTCACCAAACAACCCATGGGTCCCTAAAAAGGACGGCGACGACTGGCGTCCAACTAGTGACTATCGGTGAGTGAATGCGAAAGCCATTCCACATCATTACCTGTTGACTAAAATTCACTATTCGACAGCTACCTTGAAAGGTACAACTGTTTCTTTCGAAAAGCGTATAACCAAATTCTTACTGCTGACTACATTACTGATACTGTTATCATCACCCCTTCCTGCCTGTACGAATTTTTGCACATGCCTTTCGGTTTAAGATATGCTACACAAACCCTCAAACTGAGTATTAAACAGATGGGACCACTCGTATTACTTGGTATTTGCAATGTAGTGAATGCTGGCATTGAATATATTGCAGCTCAACTCGTTTACGAAACGACCCTCCGACTTCCGGGTAAATTCGTAGATCCTTCATCCTTAATGGATATTTAACTTTGTATGTCCAATATGCATGTTAACCCACTTGGTCGCGTTGATAGGCATCAGCCAATTAATTAAAACATCTACGTTCTCTGCTCTGTCCTGATTTTCCTCCATCATTTGAGACCCCGTAATTATGTTGAGAATCCAATGCCGCCCCCTTTTCCGTAATGTATGTGCAAGGACAGTTTCCTCGTCTGCTTGATTGGAGATTGGGCCAACTACTTTTAATATTTTCTCTGGGTCGCCTGGATTATAATTATACACTTTCGTACCGACCTGTAGCGTTCCATCGTATTCTCTGTGCCAAGGCTGATGGCGACTTTCCAATATTTCCTTTGTCTTGGCAAATGTCAAATATTGCGGTCTATCCAGAGATGGCTGTGCTTCTTTGGGACTGTCCATGGTATAAATGATTGAGTTACTTGATTGTATAACTGCCAGAAATAAGTCCATGCCCCTTTTACTGATGCCCCTGAGTCAATTATCCAGTTTTCAGCCGAGGCTTCAGAGTTTATCGCCTCCATGTCTGCCTTCCCTATGTTAGGACTGGCTAGCACAAATGTTTGACAGGCCATGATCTTTAATAAGATGACTGCATGACCACTTCTCCTTAAAGGTTTTCCTCACCGGCGTTCATCTATTTCTACCTCTACCTATCGTCTCTTAATACGATCAACCAGGCTAAGATTCTCACGAATATACATTCCTGGTCTAGTCAGTTTGCGTGAATTTTCCAATATTAGGTTTCTTTCTTCAGCCGAAAAAAGGTAACCTTTAAGATACGGCTTTTTTGAGTGCTTTCAGAATCCACCTTTCGTTCTATTCTATAAAGCCTACGAATGCTAACTCCTGCTACTGTTTCTTGAAGTAGCTTGTTTGTTAAGGACTTATTATGGCCTAGATCGTGTTCAAATTGAACCTTTGGTTCCTTTTCGGAAGACTCCTAACTTAAGACAAATGACTTACCTCTTAGCGAGATCTGTTTTGACAAACTGTGAAGTTCTGTTTCCTGAATTCTCATTCCTGCAGTCCTATTCGACGTAGGACGTACATGTCTCACTCTTTTTCCTTAATTTTCTAGCCAATCATTGACCTTATTTTGTCGCTTGATCAAATAATCTACATCGCTTTGCTCCTTCATAGTCTGTTTTGTGTTGATATGGGGATTGGAAACTTAAGCCGTCGACCCGTATCTCAGAACCCTCTGTAATTTTTTTCTCTTTTAGCGTGCTTTTTCTTGTTTATAACCATACCTACTTCTGTGTTTGTTATCCACTGCGTTATGAGGGTCCACCTCAATGGTCTCATTTAAATTTGAAGCTGGACTCATGATAACGCTCCCTGCTTTCTCGAAAACTGACAGCTACTCAACTGCTGATATATGTTTGTCTGAGGGTATCTTCCTGGCTAAATTCAGCAGCTCAAAAGTCAGCAGAGGCTTTGTACAGCAGCATGCTTTGCACAGCCAACGTGATATTGGCTTGCAACACCTTTTATACGCAGCCGGTGTACACGTGATACCGATTGTTGCAGTTGTCATATTACATTCCATTCTCGGCCGAAAGAAGCATGTGGGTTTGTCACAACGACGTTTTTGCGCCATTAAAATTCTCAACACAAAAAGCAAAACAAAAATACTGATCCCTTGAATAAGTGTTTTTTAGGCTCTAAAGTGATAGACACTTAACACAAAGGGTTGGGACTTCTATGTTGCGGTAACTGAAAAATCCGGCCTAAATAAACACAAAAGAAGCTTTTACACCTTGGAATACAATCAAAACTAAAAGATTTGCTCCTTGAGGAAAAATACCTCTGCCCTTTTTATTTTGCTCTCTTGTATGCGTCGTTGATCCATCATACGAATGTAAAAACGCTCAGAAATGCTAGGCATTACTATTTTTTACTGTCGAATAAAAAGTGGGTAACTTCACACCCGTTAACTACATAACTGCTTAGCATTGTAGTTTTGAGTGACCTGCAATCCAAGTGCTTCATGTCTAAGAATCTGAATTAAGAGTTTTTTACTTTGTTTCGTAGTAGCTTATAGTGTTATTACTCACCTGACTTTACTTGGTCATTGCATAAAATCTTCGGTATGCAGTTTCCATTTCCTTAAGGTGTGGGAACCGTCGTCCAAAAAGTCAGTATCAAAATGCACACTGAGTTTGTTTGACCTCAGTAGTGTCCTAAACACAGTAATTTCAATTTGATAGTTGCTACTTTTCCAGATGGTTTTGGCCTTCCAAAAAACGGAGCTGACTGAAGTTTGTCTGTGTTGTTGCTCATATCGGTTTACACTTGAACTCACCAGTTACATACCCTATTTTCTATAATCCATCACTATTCCAACGTCAAATAGATTACAAACATGATGGAACCCGATTTAATTTCAGATGTAGTGGAGAATAGATCTTTTACCAATAGACTAAGCACAGTTATTTTAGCAGTTGGATTAGCTAACCCAACCTCCTTATTTTGGGGAAAAATCTATAGAAAACTTTTGAGAAGTGGCACAAAAACCCGAAAATTTACCCAGGTCTGAGGAAATCCCCAAAATGTTTGGGGGAGTTTTGGGTTTACCCCAATATTTCCACAGAATCGTATAGCACTGGGGAAAACTACCATATTTCTTACGACTTTGGGGAAAACTCCGGAATTTACCCAAAGTTCCCCTAAGATAGTGAGTCCATGTTTATTAAATCTACTCTTTTATTACTGAAAACTTTCTTGGTTTGAAGAACACAGAATGTTCGTTAATATCATTCTAAGACCATTGCAATCAGTTTTAGGCCATTTAAACTAACCACTGTCAGAACCCGTAAGTATAGCGTTCTCATTGTGCTATCGAACTAAAACAATTTATTTTACCTTCTGAATAAATAATGTTAGGCATTCGAAGTATGCATGGATCTCTTAAATTATCCATATTCTTGTCTAGTCAGACCGATGAAATATCGGTGTCAGTCTTACCCACGTATAGCCAACCCATTTGGTAATGAAATATTTACCGCCTAACATTCCTGTTCACGCTCCTAAAATCCTTAGTTTATCTGTTGGTGGTATCGTTTATATTCGATAAATATCAGGTAGTACCGAAGCCTACTTAGTTTATTTATTTAGCCGAAATATTGTAAAACACTGGTCTTGGTAGTTTATTGACACCTCCATAATAATTTCTATATACATCGCTGATGTTGAAACCAACCAGGAAAAGTGGTTGATTTACACTTGGCTTTGTGAAATTACAGGTAATTATTATGAATTAAAATCTGTAATTACACTAGTGATTAGTGTAGTACGAAGTTTTCAACTCCATACATCGTAAATCGTCCAGATTCAGAGTCAACAGCAGTCAGATAGTTAAAAAGTTAGACATTCAAACTGGTCTGTATGACTGTTAGATTTTTCGTCCACTTGTGTCATGATCCTGTAAACTGGTCTGGTTCCATATTTTCAAAGATATTCTACTTTGTTAGTTATTTATGCTTCTATTCAATAACGATTCATTCGTAAGCATGCGTCAATAACTTGTTTTCTCTGAGCGACCGTAACTTACGAGCGCCACATCAGTTTAGACTAGACTGTGTAGCGTTGTACGTCTCAAACAAAACTACTATACCTTCTCCCCTCTTTACCAATACATGACAGCACCCACATCTTAGAGCCTATATTGTATCAAGTTACATTTATTTTAATCTTTTCTTGACAGTCCCGACCGTTGCTGCTACCTTGACGTGGTGGTTAGGTTTGCCTACCATG